GTGGTTTGCAGACAGCATCAGTTTACCTGAAATCCGTCAAAATGCAAATTCTCAGGCTACACTCCAGGATGCAACAGTGGGCTCAAACGGCAGCAATTGTGAGAATGATGCAGGACTGGGCAACTTTTAGTTCTGTTTTAAAGCTGCTGTGAGTCTGAATTGACTCATTGGCATCTAACAACACTTATTGAATCAAAATATCTGGAGGTGGGCCCAGGAATTTGTATTTTGATAAGCTGTCTAGGTGATTCTTACACATGCTAATTTTTGAGAAGCACTGGTATAATGGAAGGAGCATTGCCAATTCCAGTAACTTGTATAACTTTGTTGGTCAAGTACTTAATCTGACTGGTCTTTAAAGTCTCCTTCATGACAAATATATAGAGAGATTATTATTATTTTATTTTATTGATGTACATAAGTTGGCCTGGGAAAACAGATGGAAACCCAAAACTAGCCACTGAAGATTTGTGAACATGTTTGCAAAGCTATCAATTGTAGCAAGGGAAAATGAGAGAATCACAGTATGAAAGAATGCTTGCTGACAGTAGACCCAAAGAATTAGTCATTACAAAATGTCTTCAGGAAAGCACAGTGTCCTCCAACTTCACTGCCTCTATCATCTTTGACATTTTACAAATAAAATGTGTAAAGGTCTTAGGAACTTCACTACAATGTCTACAGTCTTCACATAATTCTAAATTATATAATTCATATTTATAAAAATAATCACTGATAATAATCTCAGTTGTTAAACTGTATGTTTCATTGTTGTTGTTGTTATGTGAGCTCCCATGTCTCATTATATTAGTATTAAAATCTGAACTGGTAAGGTAAATGTATACTATACCTGATTAATCTTGCTTCTTTCTTTCCTTTTGTGCACCTTAAGGTAGGTGAAGCCCTGTTGTTGTTTGCCATCGAGTCGCCCTAGGGTAGTGAAATTGAAAATATACAAAAATACTTTATTATGTGAAATTTTAAAAATATTTTTGTAATATTTCATTTTTATTTTTAGCTATATATGTGTGTTAAGACAAATATTTTTCCAAATGGTGTTCAAAAATGACATTTTAAAAGCTTAAATTGAACATTTCACTATATTTCATTCTTTGCTTTAGGGTCTAGTATAATGCCAGCAGCTGGAACAATGTATCTAACAACTTCAACTGGATATCCTTACACTTACCATAATGGTGTTGCTTATTTTCATACTCCAGAGGTAACTTCTGTCCCACCACCTTGGCCTGTAAGTAATTCATTTTAGAAGGATTTCATTTTTTTATGCAGGTATTACTATCAAATTTTTTTTAATATTTGTTTTTATTCTGAGATATTTTAGCCACAGACAAATATAAGTTATAATATAACACCCATGTATCTAACTCCCAAATTTAGTGATGTCAATATTTTGTTTATTTAATTATTGTAAATTAAAAGAGTGATAAATATGACAAATACAGGTAAAGTCTACATACCCCTAATCCTTTACCTTTCCTTCTTCCTCAGAAGTAATCAAAATATCTTTCCTGTCCATTTTATGTTTTTACCAAAAATGTGTGTATCCTTAAACAATATATGGTATTGTTTTGAGTGGTTATTAAACTCTGTGTAAATAATCTGCTTTTCTACTCAGTATCATTTTGAGATTAAACTATGTTTATCCTTGTATATCTAGTCCATTTACTTAATTTTTTTTTCTTTTTATTGTGATGTGGGTGAAAATTCACAGAGCAAATGCACCTTCCATACAGCAGTTAACATACGCTTTGTCCCATGACATTGACCACAATTTACCACAATGCAACATCTCCCCTCCCACCTCCTCCAGATAGTTACCTCTTCCCTATGTCCATCACTCCATGCACTCCTACTCCCTGAGCTGTCTCCCTGTGCATAAGCAGCCCTTCTTTCTCTCATGCTTGTTCTCTCCAAGGAGTGTATCTACCTCAGGTAAATGTTCAACTTATATGCCTGTCTATTGTTTGGCTAGGAGCTCTGGTATCATAGTGCCTAAGGCACTTGACTGCTAACCAGGAGGCTGGCGGTTCAAACCCACCAGCCACTCCTCGGAAGGAAGGTTGGGCAATCCTACTTCCGTAGTGAAAAGCCTTGGAAACCCAAGGAGGGGTCGCTAGGAGTCGGGGCCGACTTGATGGCAAATAACAACAACAACAACATTGTTTGGCTGGAAGCCATAGGTGTGCTTTCAATTCCAGACCTGAAGGGCAGCTAGGGGCCATAGTCTCAGTGGTTCCACCAGGCTCCGTCGGGCCAGCAAACATGTTCCCCACTTTTTTTTTCCCCAAAAATGATTTTGAGTTTTGTTCCACATTGTTCTCCCTGTCTATCCAGGATCTCCTGCAAACATCTTCTTCCAAGTGGTTGAACACTTACTTAAATTTTTAATAATATTCCATAGTATAAATGTTCTACAATTTTTTATATTACCTTATTGATGGACATTTTAAGTTTCTCCCTATTTTTTTTTCCCAATCAAAGCTACTATGAACATACACATCTTTTATGTACATGTGAGAGATGGTCTAGGTCAAGTTTGTCTAGGTCTTCAAAATTTTTTGCTTACATTTCCTCTAAATTCTTTTAAAAAAAATTATTTATCTTTCACTCATTCTTAAGTGAAATTTATCATAAGTTCAAATAGTTTAGGAATATTACATATTATAGACTGGTTTTAATTATATTTTATCAAAACTTACATAAACTAAATATAGCTGTATATTTTAATAATAGTAAATGTATGCTCTATAACTCAGTTGACCAAACTAGTCAACCAAATACAACCATTAGAAAAATTCACTTTATTTTTGAATTCAAATAAGTGAGTTAAAATGTATCCCTTTGACCATCATATAATTTAGTTTGTCCTTTGGATAAAATAAGGTACCATCTCCCCTTCAATATTTCTTATAAAAACTCTATTTGCATTACTATCTTGGTACTGTTTCTCAATGGAATTGCCTTCTTGAGTTGTCTGATGCCCTGCTGGTTTTCAAATTCCAAAATAAAGCATTATAGCATGATTCAGAATGGATGAGAACTATGCCTTTCTGTAATATAAAGGAGAGGGGTGATTGTGAAAGAGTAGTTTGGAATAGAAGAATGCACAGACACATATCAAATCAGGAAGGAGTACATGTGAAGTCTAGGGTCTGAAAATTGATACTCTTAAACTTATTCATACCTATAACCTTCGAAATTTTTGTGCTCCCCCATTGTACCTTGGTCTAGGATATATGCCTAGAATTAGAATTTCACATTCATAGAGTGAAACAGATGTTTTTAACTAGATGTCAGATAGCTCTCCAAAGTATACCAGTTTATGCTTTTGCCAGCAGTTTTTAAGAACTCTAATTTCTCTATAATCCTTGCCAACCCTTACAAATATCAGATATTTACATTTTTGTCAATGTTATATGAAAAAGAATCTTGTTTCAATTTTTGCGTGCCTGAAAACTGGTAAGGTTGAATGTATTTTTATATATTTGTTGCCCATTTGGATTTCTTCTTCTGTCAACTACCTGTTCATATTCTTTGTCCATTTTTCTACTGGGGTCTTTTTCTTGAGTTCATCATATGAATGTTATCGATTATGAATACCTTCTTCCAATATCTTGTCCATTAACTTTATTTATGATGTATTTTGTCATACACAAGCTCTTTGTTCTAATGTTGACAGATATATGATATATGACAGATATATGTTCTCTTTTGTTTCAGCTTTTAGTGTCTTGTTTAAAAAATTCTCCCTTAAAACAAGAATATATTCCCCTATATTTTATTTTTAAAATGCTAAAGTATTTCTGCTTTTTCCATTTATATCTTAAATCTAGAGGTTATTCTTCCTTTTTGCTACTGTTTAAAAAGGATACTTTGTCAAATACCAAGTGTGCATGTGTGGAGGTCTCTTTCTCGGTTCTCTATTTTACGCCATTGGTATACTTGCTAACTTTGTCCAATTCTCTTTTAATTACTGTGGCTTTATAATAAACCTCAACATCTAGTAGGGCAAGTCATCCAACTTTGTTCTTCTGTATGAGTGTCTTGTCTATCCTTAAGACTTTGCTCATAAGTTTAAATTTTATAATTCAGATTGTTCATGTCCATGAAAAGCCTTTGTTGTGCTTTATTAGAATTTCATTAAGTATGTAGATTAATTTGGGACATTTGGATATATCTACAATATTGAATCTTCCCATCCATGAATGTGATATATCTCTTCATTTATTTAAGTCTTCTTTTATTTTCATCAGAAAAAAACCTTTCTTCTCTATAAAAAGTTTGACACAACTTTTGTTGGATTTATTATGTTGTTGTTGTTGTTGTTACGTGCCATCGAGTCAGACTCGACTCATAGCGACCCCTCCTTGGGTTTCCGAGGCAGTATCACTATGGAAGTAGATTGCCCCATCTTCCTTCTGAGGAGTGGCTGGTGGGTTTGAACCGCCAGCCTTCTGGTTAGCAGTCAAGTGCCTTAGCCACTATACTACCAGAGCTCCCTGGATTTATTATAAGTACCTGTATTTCTTGTTGCTTTTATGATTAGTATATTTTTGTGAATTACGTTTCCTAATAGGTTGTGCGTGGTGTATAGTAATGCTGTTGATACTTGTATATTGGTTTTATAACAGCCAAATTCTCATTTAAACATTTATGATTCAGTATACTTCTATTTCTTTTATTTTCTCATTTCTTTTCACCTTGAATTATCACATTGGCAAAGTCTTTGCTGCATCTTAGTCTTGTTCTTAAAAAGGGTCACAAGTTCAGTGATTCACCATTAAGATATCTATTACTGTAGGTAAGTGTAATATATATATGTGTATATATATGTATGTATGTGTGTATACAGCAGATTTTGAAGATAACCAGGGTTTCTCAATTTCAGCACTATTAACATTTTGGCCTGGATGATTATTTGTTGGGGGAGGCTATCCTGTGCATTTAGGATGTTTAGCACTGTCTCTGGCTTCTCCCTATCCGAAGCCAGCGCATTCCCCACAGTTGTGACAAACAGAAATGTCTCTCAACATTGCCAGATGTTTCCAAGGGGACAAAATCACCCCTGGTTGAGAATTACTGCCCTAAATCAATTAAGGGAGTTATTTTCTATTCTGTTTGCCATGAGATTTTATCCATTAAAGAGTATTAAATTTATTTTAACAAATGCCTTTTCTGCATCTGCTGAGATTATATTGTTGTTTCCTTTTTAATGTGTTAATATAATAACAGATTAGATTACTTACTGTTTTTGTTGTGTTACTTACTCTATTACTTTGAATAATCAAGTGCTTTGTGCTTCTTCAGACATAGATGTATTATTTATAAGTTTTTGGGGATGAGTTTCTCATTTAAATGGCAAATTAATAAACTAATAACAGAAGTTGCAAATGTTTCAATAAATAATGTATTTTATTTTATTAAATGTATAATAAGGGAATAGAATGTTGATGATAAAAATTCAGTAGTGAGAAAATCAGATGTAATTATTCATTCAGTCCTAAATGCTATTGTAAACATTAAATATCTACTGCTGCTCTCCATGATGAAAATAGGCAGTATCATCCTAAGTCTAGCTGTCATTTTCCTCTAAATTTTCATTCAGAACTATGTTTTTATAATATATGTTGCTGCTGTTATGTGCCATCGAGTCAGACGCAACTCATAGCGACCCCTCCTTGGGTTTCCAAGGCAGTATCACTACGGAAGTAGATTTCCCAGCCTTCCTTCCGAGGAGTGGCTGGTGGGTTTGAACTGCCAGCCTTCTGGTTAGCAGTCAAGAGCCTTAGGCCCTACGAATATATGGAGATGATAATTACATTTCAGTCTAAAAGCAACTTTTCTGACGGTTGTTACAGCATGACTATGGAAATGAAACCCCTTAGAAGTAGGATACTGTGATGATTTTACTACTAGATCTAAGTATTTTCAATAAAGTCAGTAAGAATAGAAAAATAAATTTTCTAACCATAACCTAGAAGCTGACTGGATTTAGGAAACCAATTTGGGATCAATTTTATTATGAGTTACTTAAGGAATTTATGCCTTAAATAATTTTCCTATTTTTCTTTCCTCTTATAGTCACGATCTGTATCTAATTCCCCTGTGATGGTAGCTCAGCCAGTGTATCAGCAACCTGCATATCATTACCAGGTAAATATTAAATTAATATTAAAGTCCTCTTCTATACTTTCAGGGGGGCTTATTTATTTGTTTGATTTGGTGGGGTTTTTTTTTTTTTTGGTGGGTTATTTTGTAATTTTCACTTTATTCTTTCTCATGCAAACAGTCCATTAATTAAAAAGAGATAGTTAAGCCTTGATAGCAGGTTTGGGTTTGGGTTTTGTTTTTGTTTTCCTTTTTTATAAGGGAACTAGAAAATGTCATGCAAAAAAAATGGACTATTTGCTTCCTTTCACCAAATGTAATGAGGTCACCCACCACCACCACCGCCTAACTTTTTCATTTAAAAAGTCTATAATAATAATACCCAAAGTAAGATAATGTATTTGCACCACAGGCTGATTTTTTTAATGTTAGTGATAAAATTGTATCAGTTTCTTACTGTTTTATTAAATTCAATAAAATGTGTATTAAAATAAGTAATATATTATGGTTTCTTATATACTGTGACAGCCTCTTTTAGTTAACTGATACTCTTTTTTTCATTATTTCTAGTAGGAAATTGGCAGAAAGTGAACTATAATGCCAAACCACTTAGGACTATAGCAGGGGTCAGTAAACTGTGGCCTTCAGTCTAAAAACAACCTGCAGCCTGTTTTTTGTAAATAAAGTTTTACTGGAACACAACCACATTTGTTTACATGTTGCCAATGGCTGCTTTTGTGTTATAATGGCAGAGTTGAGTAGTTGCAACAAAGATTTTATGGCCTGAAGCCTAAAATATTTATTGGCTGATTCTTTGTGTAAAATATTTGCCAACCTCTGGTCTTTAGCATTCACAAATAATTTTTTTTTATATTGCCTCTAGAATAGTGGCAGAGCATGTTATTTCTGTTTCTTTAGTTTCAGACTTTTAAAATGTATTCACATGAAATGTTTAATTAAGGTCACTAAAATTCTTTTTACTATTAGACTAGGTTTTGAAGCAGTCAGTTATTTTTAAATTCTAATGCCATGTCTTTGAATTGTGGTATTGGCAAAATTACCATGGACTGCCAAAGAATGAACAAATCTGTCCCGAAAGAAGTATAGCCAGAATGCTCCTTAGAAGCAAGAATGGCCAGACTTTATGTCACTACTTTAGTCATGTTGTCAGAAGGGACCAGTCCCTGGAGAAGGATATTATGTTTGGTAAAGTAGAGGGTCAATGAAAAGGGGAAGACTCTCAATGAGATGGATTGACACAGTGGCTGCAATGATGGTCTCAAGTATAGCAAGGATTGTGAGGCTGGCACAGGACCCGGCAGTGTTTCATTCTGTTGTGCATGGGATCGCTTGAATGGGAGCCAACTCAACAGCTCCTAACAACAACCCCATGCTAAGTAAAAATTAAAGTGTTTCCTTCACTTATTAAAAGGGAAAATAATGTAATGACATTTATTTAAAATATGTATGTTAAGATTACTATTCCTGAGATGTCTCAGAATTTCAGCAGAGTCCACAAAGACTGAGAACAATAAGTACCAAACTATTTAAGCGTGACTGGCTAAAAAATTTTCTAACTAGTTTCAGGACCTTAGTTCATTGCCCACCTTTGAGCTCATAAAAGAAGAAGCTGACATTGATAAGGGAGATTGGTAAAGAGGCTTCCTTTAACAAGAGAGTTGTTAGAGTGCTCCTCCTCAGCCAAGTGAAGGGGACCTCAGAGAATGACTATGAGCACTTTGTATCTGTCCCCTGGAACTAGGGAGGCTGTTGGGACTTGGATCTGGCCTCTGCCTAATTTAGAAGTCCAAATAAGAAAGGGTACAGTGAGAGTGAGTTGAGCATCCATATTTCCCCAGAGCAAGATGTGAACCTCACAGAAGAGCCTTTTCCCAAAAACTTTAAGTTGACTCCAATAGAGAAAGAAACTGTGTGAGGCAGACTTCTGGAATCAAGGGCTGAGGGACCATTGTATTGTAGTTTCCAGCAAGGAGTTCACTAAAGAGTCTATTAAAGTGCCCTAACTAGAGAGTTGGCATTTGGAATCTGCCACACTCAAAAAAAGGTGATCTGCAGTAGTTCTTATCCCAGGATAAGGAAGAACAGCTCAAAAGAGTGCTTTTAAAGTGGAAGGGGCAAGAATAAAGTTGCTTTCTGCTTGTACCTTATTGAGTCCATATCCTTCATTAATTAATAAACATACAACTTGAGTATATTCCCCCATGAATTTAGGGAGTATCTCAAGAATAGATTTATACAGTGAACACCAATTACCAAAGACCAGATGAGTTGCGGGACAACATCAAGGATATTATATATGAAGAAAGCAAAAGGTCATTCAAAAGACAGAAAAGAAAGAAAAAGAACAAAATGAATGTCAGAAGAGACTCTGAAACTTGCTCTTGAATGTAAAGTAACTAAAGTGAATGAAACATGATGATGTAAAAGAGCTGAAGAGAAGATTTCAAAGGTCAACTCAAGAAGATAAATCTGTGGCAAGAGGAGATGGAGAAGCTCGATATCTTCAGCCAAAACAAGGTCAGGAGCAGATAACATTACCTTGCTTGCTGAAAGTGTAGAGGACTTGAAGCATTTACTGATGAAGATCAAAGACTACAGCCTACAGCATGGATTATACCTTGATATAAAATAAAATCCTCACAACTGGACCATAAGCAACATAATGATAAAAAGAGATAAGATTGTCATAGACTTCATTTTGTTTACATCCAAAACCAACACCCATGGAAACAACAGTCAAGAAATTGGAATGACATAATGCATTGGGCAAATCTGCTGTAAAAGGCCTCTTTAAAGTGTTAAAGAGTAAAGATGTCACTTTGAACACTAAGGTATGCCTGACCCAAGCCATGGTATTTTTAGTTGCCTCATGTGCATGCAAAAGCTGGACAGTGAATAACAAAGACTGAAGAAAAATTGATGCATTTGAATTATGCTGTTGGCAAAGAATATTAAATATACCTTAGACTACCAGAAGAATTACCAAATCTGTCTTGGAAGAAGCACAGCTGGAATGCTCCGGAGAAGCGAGTATGGCAAGACTTCATCTCACGTATTTTGGTCATGTTATCAGAAGGGACTGGTCCCTGGAAAAAGATGCTTGTTAAAGTAGAGAGTAAGTGAAAAAGAGGAAGACTTCTCAGTGAGATGAATTGGCACAGTGGCTGCAATAATGAGCTCAAGCATAGTAGGATTTTGAGAATGATG